ACAAGAGAATCACTTAAGCCCAGGAGTTGAAGGTTGCTGTGAGCTTTGACACCACAGCACTCTACCGAGGGCAATAAAGTGAGACTCCGTCTCTAAAAAAAAAAAAAAATTTTAAAAAAAAGAATGCCGCTTGGCGCCTGTGGCTCAAGCAGCTAAGGCGCCAGCCACATACACCTGAGCTGGCAGGTTCAAATCCACCAGGCCTGCCAAACAACAATGATGGCTGCAACCAAAAAATAGCTGAGCGTGTTAGCAGGTGCCTGTAGTCCCAGCTACTTGGGAGGTAGAGGCAGGAGAATTGCTTGATCCCAGGAGTTGGAGGTTGCTGTGAGCTGTGATGCCACAGCACTCTACCCAGCGTGACAACTTGAGGCTCTGTCTCAAAAAAAAAAAATGCTTTCCATGATTTTATCATACTTTATCCATAACTGCTATGTCACATTTTTTTTTTTAAGAGACAGAGTCTCACCCTCTCATCCTTGGTAAAGTGCTGTGGCGTCACAGCTTACAGCAACCTCCAGCTCTTGGGCTTAGGTGATTCTCTTGCCTCAGCTTCCCGAGTAGCTGGGATTACAGGTGCTGGCCACAATCCGGGCTATTTTTTGTTGCAGTTTGGCCAGGGTCGGATTCAAACGCACCACCCTCGGTACAGGGGGCCGGCGCCCTATTCACTGAGCCACAGGTGCCGCCCCTATGTCACATTCTTTTTTTTTTGCAGTTGGGGCAGGGTTTGAACCCACCGCCCTTGGTATATGGGTAGGGTGACCAGACGTCCTGCTTTTGGTGGGACAGTCCCACTTTTGAACAATTTGTCCCATGTTGCGCGGTGTTTTTAAAAAGTCCCCATTTTTGGAAAGAATGCACGAATAGGCGGGAGAACAGGAAGAGAATATACGGTATTTGGCTGCCATGTGGCTATTTTGCCAGAATATGAGTTTTATATTATTTTTGTTAATTTTATGTTAAATTGTAATAATAACAAATAATTGTTGAGAAGTAATTATCAAGAACTGCTTATCAAAGTTTGCATTGTTGTCACGCCCTGCCCTGCCCTGCCCCCGCCCTGTCCCCCCCCTTGTCCCGCTTTACAAATGTTAAAATCTGGTCACCCTATATATAGGGCCAGTGCCCTACTCAATGAGCCACAGGAGCTGCCCATATGTCACATTCTTAATGTAGCAAAACAACAACCAGGAAATGGAACAACTAATGTTTTTTTCTTAAGAAAAATTATGATGCTATTTGGGAGGCTGAGGCAAGAAAATTGCTTGAGCCCAAGAGTTTGAGGTTGCTGTGAGCTATGATGCCACAGAACTCTACTGAGGGCAAAAAAGTGAGACTCCATCTCAAAAAAAAAAAAAAGAAAAGAAAAAAATAATGGGCTTGGTGCCTGTGGCTCAAGCGGCTAAGGCGCCAGCCACATACACCTAAGGTGGCAGGTTCGAATCCCCAGCCTGGGCCCACCAAACAACAA